TAATTAGAAATTTCTGATCTCAGATATGGTTCCAAGTAAAATAAAAAAATATCTGCATCAACTGAGGATCTAAACAAGGGATGTCATTGTGGGCTGCATCAGCATTGTGGTTGTCCTCAGGGGGCCGGGATGGGGATGGGGGGGATGGCCGGGGTGACCCGGGGGTGTGGCCAGCTTGATGTCATTCACATGAGCTGAGCACTGTTGGGGAGGGAATCCAGGGGTCTCCAGCAGGTGGGACGGTGGGTGGGAGGCTTGTCCCACAGGATGAAGTGAGGGGAGGCAACGCAGAGGGTGGAGCTGGGGTGCTGCCACCATGAGGCAATGCAGTGGGTGGGGCCAGAAACTATCTGCCATTGCGCGCTTACCACCCTTTATGTGTTTGTTTTTGCTTGTGGCCTGAGAGCAGGTCACTGCTGGTCATCTTCTCCTTGGTCTTGCCCTTGCTCCGCACATGGAGTGTGTTCCCCTCACATACCCGATACACCTCGGTCCTACCACGGGCTGCTGCTGCCACCACTCAGCAGACCCCCACCACCACTGCTCGGCAGACCTGCCCAACCTGAAGGAGGTGAAGCAGCCAGCTAGGAAGGCCAAGTAAAGGTGGTAGAGCACGCCCAGGCCCAGAAGGCAAAAGAGCAGGAAAAGCCTGATCCCCATTGGTGCCATGGACACCCAGGCCCAGCAGAGATGAAGGGAAGCATGCAGAGGCAATGATGGCGGAGGGATCAAAATGGGAAGCCTCTGTCCGGAGCCTCTGGCAGGTTAAAAAAAACCTGTGGAGCAGCAGCTTCTCTTTTTGTCTATCCTCCTCTCTGTTGCCTCCACACCTGATGAGGAGAGGGCAGTTCTGCTTCTGCCCCACACCCCACAATGCTAGAAGCCACATGTCACCACCGCTTACCTGCTGCATCCCCCCCGCCCATCACCCATCCCACCTAGAAGCCCCATAGTCTTAAAGGTCCCATTTCACCTCCTTGCCATCTCCTTCCTTCCTCCATGCTCAGGAAGGAACAAGGGCAGGGGGAGAGGTTGGCAGCATGGCTTTCCCACAAGGGGGCAGGATGCTGATCTGCAACCTGATGGCTGTCAACCAGGCCAGACTGCAGCCAGCCCTAGATCTGTGGCATCACCCCCTGGGTGTGCACATAGGAGGCAGCGGGCACGCAAGGGCTGGTGTCCTGAATGAAAAGATGTGCTCAGAACGCAGTCCCCAGGGACACCAGGACCGGTGCGCTCACAGCCTCCTGTGCACATGCCCAGAGGGTGGGGCCGAGGTAGTACCATGGATCTAAGGCGAGCCATGATCTGGCCCAGATGGATGCCACCGGATCAGTGCCCGGTTGGCCTGGGCCAGGCTGAGGGACCGCAGCCTGTTCCTTCACTGTTTCCAGGACAGCCCCATGGGCCAGATCTAACCACCTCACAGGTTGGATCCAGCCCACGGGCCTTGAGTTTGACATCCCTGGTCTAAATCCTGTAGTCATCTTTAGAGGTTGTTTAAAAGATCTCTGTTAAGGAAATGAGAGAACTGATGTTTCAGTAACTGTGAGACATTAAGTAGGTCAATTATCTAGGATTGCAGTTCCCTCTTCCTTGTATATCTCAGAAGATGCTTTTTGTGAATACGAAATTAGAGAAAACTCTTATGTATGCCATCTTGGTCTCTCAGATGGAAGGGGAGATGTAATACTGTAGCTAGATAGCTGCGTGGACATTATTTGCTTTGGAATTCTCTTCTTACAGTGATCTTCTTAATGCATTCACTGGTCTATTTGAAATGGTAGATGCTAGACTCAGATTTTAGCTTGTTCACCCAGGTTTTAGTAGGTATTTCACATCTATTGCTTCAAATTCTGAGCAGTTGAGGCTAGTTGTTGATGTATCTCTGCTGTAATAATAACAATAAAGGGGCTCAACACCTAGACTTAGATCGATCCTTTATCTGAAACTCATAGAATATTGGCTGAGTCCTACACAATACAGAAGGGTGAAAAGGGACTTCAGCAGGATTTAAGGATGGCAGTGCTAGGAATCAGGCAGCATTTCTTCAAGTTACAAATGTATTCATCGCTGCTTCTTTATACATGCAAAAGTCTTCATAGTCACAGCACGTTGTTGCTGTAATTAAAGCTCCCTTTTTCTCCAAAACATTGCACTTATCCCCTGGGACAGTGCATCCTCTTTCACCAGTGTGGGGTGTTTCCTCTGTGGAAACATTAAAAAAAAAAAAAGATCAGTGCACACAGAATGAAGCAAATACAGATGAAGCTAAACTAAAACATCCTCTCCAAAGCCAGATACAAGACCTTCTCCTGCATGTTTTCCACCTGTTTTCATTCATTTTGTGGTGAGAGAATTTGCTTTACAGATTATCTCCCAATTTTTTTTTAGACAATTGCCCATGTTTGTGATTGTTGTTGATGTAGTAATTATACCAAGGCTCAGGAGTACAGTGTAGGGATCTGGATCCTGCCTTTCATTGTGCAATCTTCTCTCTACTTTTTGCAACCTCCCTGGCTTCCTATGCTTAATCTCAACGAAAAAAAAACTCATCATGAAACCTCTCCCAAGCAAGAAACAATATCCTAATCAAGGAACTACTAAAGAGAAAGCCACACTTCCACCCACACTGTTAGGGCAAGCTACTATATATAAACAGGGAGCAAACCCTCCCACAACTAGCATTGATGTCATTAATTAGTCAGGTAATGAAATGTCTATAAGCAAACAACAAAGCTCAGAGAGCACCAAGAACTCCACAGTTCAGCCCTGAGCTACATATAGTCTCATCTATTGGACGTCATAATATATCATCGGCGAACAGTTATCGCATCTTATTCTATTCTACCTATATGATGCCATGACCCACAATTGCAGTCTCCATAAAAGAAATGATGGAGACCAAATTTAGAAGGATTACTTAGATCATATTAAATTTCTCCTTGGTAATAAAAAAAAAATAACACAACCTCTTTCTTTAAAAAAACAAACAAACAAATGGTACAGAGGAATATCTAGTTCAAAGTTAGTATAAATCCAGGAGTATTGAAAGCAGTTCCAAACATGAATAGTATTTATTTATGGCTCCTTTTTCTCTGAGCATCTTTGGGAAAGGTCAGTGATCTGTAACTAACAAAGTACCATATTTGAGATTGTTAAGCAATAACATTTAAGCCTTAACTGATATCAAAGAGATGTGTGTTGACAAACTAAAGCATGGGATATAAGCAGGCCAATGAACTTAACCAATAAGCAGGTGTGATATATTAATGCTTATACCATGTTTTCCTGAAAATAAGATCCTGTCTTATATTTTTTTGTTCCCCGAAATAAGCGCTTGGCCTTATTTTTGGGGAGGTCTTATTATTTTGGGGTGCATGGAGCAAGACGGGGCTCCTCTTGCCATCTGATCTGATTTCCAGCTCTGCATTTAAATATTTTCAGGGAAGGCTTATTTTCAGGGGGAGGCTTATTTTAGCGCATGTGCTCAAAAGCCTGATTGGGCTTATTTTTGGAGAAACAGGGTATGTATCTATTTGGATGAAACTTACTTGCATAGTATTTGACAAATTTGCAAAATTGTCCAGGCTCAGCCACACAGACCCCTTTTCCTTTGATACAACCAATCGTAGAACGGTAGCGTTTGCACACATGGCATTTGAGGGCATCAACTACAGGATCAGGAAGAAAAACAGTCCTTTACTAATCTAAAATTAAATATTAGTGTCATATTCTCAGAGTTATGATATAAGTAGTATAACCTCAGTGCAGTGCTAATGAGTTTAAGTATGGTCAACAGTAGTTAAATACCAACCCTAATTCAGAAACCAACTTATCCATTTACTTAACCAGAAAAGCCTAGATTAATATTGTCCTACTAAAATCTGGCTCTCTCAATTCCTGGCAAATAGATGGGGAAGAAATGGAGGTTGTGACAGATTTTATTTTCTTGGGCTCCAAGATCACCGCAGATGGGGACTGCAGCCAAGAAATTAAAAGACGCTTGTTCCTAGGGAGGAAAGCTATGGCAAATCTAGACTGCTTACTAAAAAGCAGAGACATCACCCTGCCAACAAAAGTGCCTATAGTCAAGGCTATGGTTTTCCCAGTTGCAATGTATGGCTGTGAAAGTTGGACCATAAGAAAGGCTGAGCGCCAAAGAATTGAGGCCTTTGAACTCTGGTGCTGGAGAAGACTCCTGCTCTGAGTCCCTTGGACTGCAAAGCGATCAAACCGGTCAGTCCTAGAGGAGATCAACCCTGACTGCTCTTTAGAAGGCCAGATCCTGAAGATGAAACTCAAATATTTGGCCACCTAATGAGAAGGAAGGACTCACTGGAGAAATGCCTAATGTTGGGAAAGATTGAAGGCAAAAGAAGAAGAGGGTGGGTGGCTGGATGGAGTCACTGAAGCAGTCGGCGTGAGCTTAAATGGACTACAGAGGGTGGTAGAGGACAGGAAGGCCTGGAGGAATGTTGTCCATGGGGTCACGATGGGTCGGACATGACTTTGCAACTAACAACAACAACAACAACAACGAAAATCTGGTATGAGAAGGAGTTCCTGTTGAGTTTGGGAAAATGACTTCTATGACTACTATTACTCTGAATGACTTGGCCAACTATATAAATCCATCTTTGCTGCCCTAGCAGAGTAAAGAAGGAACACAAATTTTGCCATTGTTTGCATGGTAAGTTATTGTTACTCACCAAAAACACAGCAAAGCAAAACCAAAAGGCTGGGAAGCAGAATTTTAGCCATCATCTAGGTCCCCTGTAGAGGATAAGTAGACCAAGGAGCAAATGTCGTTCAAATGGAAGAGAAACCATAGGAGAAGAGAAGAAGGTAGAGAAATGTTCTTCAATACATGTCCATCCATGTAAGTGACAAGCAGCCCTGATAGTCAACAAGGTTGATGGAATTCCAGCTGCAATTTGAAAGGAACCCCACCTTCCAAGGGAGGGGTTAAAATTCTAGGACAGTTAAGCAAGAAGGCTGGAGTTCCACACAGTTGTGAGATTGGCTGTCACAAAAGTATGATTTTAAATTAATTTATAAGCTGTCAATGTGTTTGGGTGTGGAATTCTCCCACAGTGGTTAAGTGTCCCCTTTCCTTCATCAAATTATGCTGTGATATTGTCTGGTACAAAATGCTACTGCCTGTGGATCAACCAACCAACATATCCAGAAAATCACCTGTTTATAGAAATTGTATTTGCTGCCACTAGGCTTCAAAGTCGAATTCCAGGTACTTAAGAAATTATTTATTAAGCTGTATGAAAAAGGTCCTCCTTATCTTGGGGAGGATAATATTGTTGCTATGTGTTTCTCTGGCCAAAAAGCAATCTGGCTGTGAATCCTTGCACAAGAAGTCAAGGGAAGGAGCAGAGGTGGGTTTCAGCAGGTTCTGACTAGTTCTGGAGAACCGGTAGTGGAAATTTTGAGTAGTTCAGAGAACCGGTAAATACCTCTTCTGACTGGCCCCGCCCACATCTATTCTCTGCCTCCCGAATCCCAGCTGATTGGGAGGAAATGGGGATTTTGCAGTAATCTTCCCCTGGAGTGGGGTAGGAATGAGGATTTTACAGTATCCTTCCCCTGCCACACCCACCAAGCCACACGCACCAAGCCACACATACAGAACCGGTAGTAAAAAAATTTGAAACCCAGCACTGGGAAGGGGACACCAGAAAGATATCTCCTTGATCATGGTACATCACTTTGGAACAGCCGGTCTCCTGAGATTAGAGTGACCCCCTTCCCCAATAAGCCTTTATGCCAATGGGTGTAAAATTATTTTAAATAATCATGCTGCATAGGTTCTTTCTTTGGTTCAGAGGCCAAATGTTGCTTTATTTTGCTGAATATGTTTTAGAAATAGCAATAGCACTTAGATGTATATTCCGTTTCATAGTGCTTTATAAACAGCACTCTGTTTAAGCAGTTTACAGAGTCAACATATTGCCCCAATAATCTGGGTCCTCATTTTACCAATCTTGGAGGAATGGAAGGCTGAGTCAACCTTGAGCTGGTCAGTATTGAACTCCAGGCTGTGGACAGAGTTTGCCTGCAGTACTACATTCTAATTTTAATCTTGGATATGTTTTCATGTTTCATTGGGAGCTAGGTTAAAGGATAGGGGTACAGCTGGTTCTTGTTTAGCAATCACAATTGAGCCCAAAACTCAGTCATTAAGTGGAGCAGTCAGTAAATAAAATCACCACATAATCTCACTTCAGCTTCCTTTTGCTTTACAGACCTGCAAAAGTCATAAATGTGAAATCTGGGTGAAAATTAATATCAGGCCCAACCCAGGAATGACAGAACAATACAGGCAAACTTCAGTTCTTTATTTATGCTACATTCACCAGAGTCTAAAACACACCTTAGTTTTTGGGGAGGAAAATAAGAAAAAAGCTGATTGGAGGGTGGATGGGTCTCCCGGAATACCCCCAATCAGTTGTTCTCAGAGGTGAATTTTAGCAACAGGTTTGTTGGTTGTGAGCTCTGTGCCTTGCTTTTTTTTTTTTTTTTTACTTTTTTTTCTGCCTCTGAAACGTCTGAAACTCTGTTTCAGAAAAAACTTTTTTCCCTGCCTCTGAAAGTCTCCGAAACAGAGCTTCAGAAAAAAAGCCTCTGAAGCTCTGTTTCTGAGGCTTTTTTTCTAAAGCTCTGTTTGGAGGCTTTTTTTTCTGAAGCTTCGTTTCTGATGCTTTTTTCAGCCTCTGAAACTTCCCTCTGAGAGGCTGGGCAGGGCTACATTCGGAGTATAAAACGCACCCAGATTTTCACCCTCTTTTTGGGGGGGGAAAGGTGCGTCTTATACTCCAAAAAATACGGTAACTGAATAGTTACATCTATTCAGTTCAAACTAAGGTGGGAGATTCTAGGGAGTGGTTATCTTAAATATCTTCCTCTTTCTCTGATGCAACTCTGGCTGCTGTTGTCATGCTACTTCACTATAATCCATCATACCATCTCCCCCTTCATAGACATATTCCACCACAGTTACATTTTCACCGTTGCCATAACTGCCACTAGTCACTAAATGAAGCTTCTACTAACACTCCGTTGCAGCTCTAAGGGAAGTTTATCTTTTGATAAACATTTTTTTTCAAGCAAGATAAAAGTTTTCAGGATCAGGATATGGACAGTACAGTAAACATGCCAAAAGCAATTAAACCAAGCTTTGTCTCCAGCCTTGTTCCCAGTCTACTGGCGGTTGCAGAAATTAGCATTTCTGCAACATTTGTTGATATGGCGGATGTTTGTTCCTCCATTCACGGCCTTGCAATCTCTGGTACAGCCAGTCCTAATAAATAGGAAAGTACGTTCTGGAAAAGAAAAAATACAAGTGAACACCCAGTGTCTTCAGAACAAATCTTGTCCTTTTCACTCTTCTACTGATACCTGGTCTATTTCCAAGTTCTTCTGAAAGACCCAGTCACTGCCTTTGAAATTTTTTTTTTATCACCAATGCCCTAAAGAGGACATTGTGGACCAACTACACAATTTTAACACAATTCACTGTCCAAACCAATCAAATTAGAAGGTGGTTTAGCAAGGTGCAATTGGCTATGCACACATGAGCAGCAATTTTGAGAGCCAAAGAGTCACACAAACCCTGTGTTGTGTTCAAGAAGTGGACCTGATTTAGCAGACATTGTGGAACAGATTCATGTCTCACAATTGCCCAGGAGGGCAAAGTCTGATCTGACATGGAGTAGTGTAGCATCCATTGTTCAATGGTCATCTCAATGACTTTCATTTTGGCAACAGGGGTTGTCCTATACTTACCTGCAATGACCGACTGCCTGAAACAAGAGTTCAAGGTAGCTGTTAAATTGCAGGGTGGTGTTTCTTTTTGACACGTGCCATTCGAATACGCACGGTAACATTGATCGCACATGAGGCCACCAACTGGACAAATAGAAAAAAAAATTGCATTGCAAATAAAGCCCAAGAAGGAGTCTGAAAATTAAGATGTAACACAGCCCAAATCAGTCTGGGGGCCTAAAGCATAGGATGAATGGTTGTGGAAACTGAGAGTGCCTACTCTAGGCAAACTTGGAAAAAAATGACCTCCCTCCACATTCCTTCCTATGATATAGGGACAAATTTGGAGACTGGGATAGGATTGAGAACAGACATCAATGTTAATTTGCAACTCCTGGATTGCTTCCATTTATTAAACACAGTGTACATTAAGCTGCTTGATAGCCAACAATCGTGTCAGCTAAATTTCAGGTTGATGTATCACACCTCTTCATGCTTGAGCATGGTCTGCAGTAGTGTTTGGGACGCTACACAATGACTGGTTTTCCTTGTTACTTTCTGAGAGGAGGCTTTGTGGTGCCTATAACACTATAACAGTAACAGAGTTGGAAGGGACCTTGGAGGTCATCTCATCCAACCCCCTGATCATGCAGGAGATCTGTACTAGGGATTCAAACCGCTGAATTGCTGACCCTTCTGATAGACAAGCTCAGTGTCTTAATCACTGAGCCACCTAGTCAGGACTTCTAGATTCAGTCACAGTTTTGTTCCATATAGTATCATGCTTGTCAACTCTGAGGTTTCAGTGTATGTTATGTATATGTGGGTAGATATCACATTCTGGACATAAACTGTTTTAACTCCTACCATCAAAATGATGCTATAGAGCACTGCACACCAGAACAACTAGACACAAGAACAGTTTTTTCCCAAATGCTTTCATTCTGCTAAACAAATAATTCCCTCAACACTGTCAAACTATTTACTAAGTCTGCACTACTATTAATCTTCTCATCGTTCCCACCACCCATCTCCTTCCACTTATGACTGTATGACTGTAACTTTGTTGCTGGAATCCTTACGATTGATATTGATATTGATTGTTTCCTGATTGCTTATTTGTCCCTTACGACTATCATTAAGTGTTATACTTTATGATTCTTGATGAACATAACTTTTATTTTATGTACACTGAGAGCGTATGCACCAAGGCAAATTCCCTGTGTGTCCAATCACACCTGGCCAATAAAGAATTCTATTCTATTCTATTCTATTCTATTCTATTCTATTCTATTCTATTCCATTCCATTCCATTCCATTCCATTCCATTCCATTCAATAGGCATGAGTAGCAATAAATCAGTTTAATTAGATTTAATTAGATATATACTTTCCATCAGATCCCATAGATCCCTATCAGGATTCTGCCATTCTGGTGGGGAGGAGGCCTGGGTGCATTCTTTAGCCTTTTTTCTGATGCCTATGCATCCTGGACTTTGATTTACCTTCTTGGGAATGTAAGCGGGGGAGGGCCATCTGTTTTACCTCAGTTTCGAAGCCTCCATCAAGAGACACCTGGGAACAACCGTCTTATCATCTTCTCAGCCTGCACTTCTCAAAACAACTTCGCACCAGTAGATTGGCTTATTCAACATCGGATTGAGAGGAGGGGTTTCTAACTTCTTTATCCTAACTGAATTCCCCCAGGGAAAGTTTAGATCCTGCTTCCTTTGTTCTGCAATCCCCTTCCTTCAATAAAAGGCTCCTTTTGAAATATTAATTATTCATTTTATTATTTATTTATTATTAAATTTATATGGCCGCCTATTCGCCCATGGCGACTCAAGGCGTCTTACAGAATATAAAACCACATTTAAAAAAAACAGTAAAACTAATAAAAAACCAAATAAATTAATGTAATAAAATCACCCCCCACCTCCCACCCCATCGACAGCCAATCACACGAGCCATTTAATGGACTCCATCCCGCTCTGGGTTCCCCAGGCCCGCTGGCAGAACCAGGTCTTCAGCACCTTCTGGAAAAGAATTAGAGTGGGGGCTGTTCTAATCTCTGGGGGGATGATATTCCAGAGATAGGGAGCCACCACAGAGAAGGCCCTTCTTCTGGGTCCCACCCAGTGTATCTCCCTCGGGGATGGGACCCGCAGCATTCCCTGCCTCCTTGCTCTGATGGGTCAGGTAGATGTGACCGGCAAGAGATGGTCCCTCAGTTAACCTGGTCCCAAGCCATGAAGAGCTTTAAAGGTGACAACCAGCACCTTGAATTGCACCCGGAAACAAATCGGCAGCCAATGCAGCTCCTGCAGGAGACGTGATACATGTGCACACCAGGGTTTGCAAAAAAACTGTGTGGGCCGCTGTATTTTGCACCAACTGGGGGTTCCGGATGCTCTTCAAGAGCAGCCCCATGTAGAGCATGTTGCAATAGTCGTGACGGGAAGTGACTAAGGCA